CTCTCTCTCTCTCTCTCTCTCTCTCTCTCTCTATCTATCTATCTATCTATCTATCTATCTATCTATCTATCTATCTATCTATCTATCTATCTGTCTCTTTTCATCTGCCTCCCTTTCTTCGCGCCACACCACTTCTCTTATCATCGCGCGGTTATCTGACTTCTGATCCTTTGCCGATCGCGATGGAGAAAGCGGACCTTGCGAAAGGAGGTCGGCTTATTTGAATGAGAAATGCCCGGTACAGCACGTGGTCCAGGCGGTTTTCCCTTCGATCTCGATAGACGTGCCCAATTCCTCGTGGAATATACGAGATTTCATCGTGTTCGCCTTCAATTGTTGACACTTGATAGCGTAGAGAAATCACGTTGATTCTTGTAATTCTGATTCATCTAATTCTGAATTTTCAAAATTCTCACCGATTATACGAAGAGAAAAGAGTGAAGAACAATGAGCAAAAAAACCCACTTTCGGATACAGACTTCCGTGATCGAATTACGACGAGAGACATGATGGAAATTTTACAATTTCTGTATTTACAGGACAAAATTTGTTATATTGAATTAAACATGAAATATTTGCATCACACAATTTTTTTGTTATATTGATGCAGGGAAACAGATTTATTAAAGTCACTTAGATTTTTATATTTTATGTGATACATTGCTTGGGACAAATTTTTATCATTTTTTTGTATCTTTTCTCGTATTTCTATTTCTATTTCGTTGTTCTCTGTGATTAATATGAGTATCATGTGAATATATTTCTCTCAATGTACTGAGAAAGAGAAATATTTGAAAATTATTTGCGAGATATAAAGTTTCTTCCTATATAAAATAAAATTTATTTCTCTTTCTCTGTAAATAAGCTTTATATCCCCCACGAGTAAAGTCTCGAGTATCTTCTTCTCAGTGTGTTGTGTCGTATAATATTTTTATTCACTCGTCCGCCCATTTATAAGGGATGCAATCTTAACAAATCGACTAGTAAATTTGATAATAATTTGATAAATTTAGTAATTGACTCGTAAAGGTTGCATTCCTTATGACAGATGATTTATATTTATTACATATATAGAATGCCGAATTAGAAATACAAAAATAATTATTTGAAATTTGTTCGAAATTATCGAAATTTATTCAAAACAATGTATTACGTGAAACATGTAATACGAAAATCTGAGTGCAACTTTTAGCAAAATTTGTTGCTGCGTTGATACGACAAAGATTTACATTATTATATAATGTAATTTTAATGATTAATTCAACACAAAATATTTACTTAAATATTTACTTGAATTAAAAGAAATATTACAGAATATTTACTTGATGAATATTTACTTGATGAATTAAAAGAAATATTACAGAATATTTACTTGATGAATTAAAAGAAATTTATCCAAAATTTTTATTATCGATTGTCTCACATCGTAATAATCATGAAAGTGTATCTAGGTATAAAAATAGAGATAATAACAGATAACAGTAGGTGACAGAATAAGAACATTCGTAGACCTTGTTGACCCGTGTAGATCGTTACTTGTGTTATTGCTATTTTCTTGTTGTTGCCTTTGGTGTATACAATGTCGTGGAAACTTGCGGTAACGCGTCTGCGAATTCAGATTACACCATACGCACAATAAGTCGGTTAGAATAATCACACGCTCGGCGTTAAAGTCCCGCTAAGAATCGCCAAGCGGAACTGCTGCGTTTGACATTTAACTCGATACCGTCAGTGAGCGCCTCTCCGCTCTCGACGGAGAGATCCGCGACTTTTATGTAAGAATCTCATGCGATAAAGTATATGTATGTGTCGATCTTTTTCATCTTTTTAAATTGCAATTCGATCGCGAATTCCCAGATAGAATAGAAAATCAGGATAACGCCAAAATGACGATGAAAATGACTAAAAAATCAAAATAACGCCAGGAAAATCATAACAGCGTCAAAATAACGATGAAAATGACTAAAAAATCAGGATAACGCCAGAAAAATCAGAATAATGCAAAAATGACGATAAAAATGATTAAAAAATCAGGATAATGCCAGGAAAATCAGGATAACGCCAAAAATGACGATGAAAATGACTCAAAAATCAGGATAACACCAAAATGACGATGAAAATTAGTCAAAATGACCAAAACATGATCGAAAAGTCAATTTTCGCAGTCACTTCTTCATCACTTCGACGTGATTTTCTGTTCCACTTTGCCTCCTAGATAAAGGTGAAATTGTTCTTTCTATCTCTATTATATCTCTCTACATTTCCTTTCTTTTTACAATTTGCTACTTTTCAAGGTGAAATGTATCGGCAAGCAGCTGAAACTTTCGGATTTCGTGTATGTGCGACCGTGATTTCATTTTGACATTTTTACAGCGTGGACGCAATGAAATGAATCGCCTGGATGTGAAACCGCAGAAAGCAACTTTTATTCTCGCGTCTACGCGATGTTTCGTCCCGTGTCTGTTCTATAAGTTGCCTTAAATAGACCATAACTAACGATCGCAACTAAGATGCTTACCGCGCCTAACAATACCGTCCGCGTATCATTCGCGGGGACTTGTGTTTAGCCGAAGCGTGGTCGAGCGTGACCGCGTCCCGGGCCTCCGCTCGAAAGTCGTTTCACTGGAGAGACGTCAGTCGTTGCGATTAAAAAAAAGGGGGACAGCCTCGGGCTTGATGTCGAGTATTACATCCTTTCGGCGACTTCTGCTCGAAAACACGTGTTTCTCTTGAACGATATTATTAGCCGTTATTGAACGCTATCTCGTTACGGCGTTGTTATTTTATAATTGACGGCCCGTTTTATTCCGCCCCGAACGAATTATATTAAAAGCGAATAATTACGATCATGTTCCACGGCGACAAATAGAACGTAAACAGGCGGGCGAGTGAATAAAAATATTATATGACATAACACACCGAGAAGAAGATACTCGAGAGTTTATACGTGGAGAATATAAAGCTTATTTACAGAGAAAGAGAAATAAATTTTATTTTATATAGGAAGAAACTTTGTATCTTGCAAATTATTTTCAAATATTTCTCTTTCTCAGTACACTGAGAGAAATATATTTGAAAATTTATTCGTAAGGTATAAAGTTTATTCGCAGAAATAAATTTTATACATTTCTTAGAAATAAACTTTATTTCGCAAAAAGATACTTTATATCTCGTAGAAAATTTTTCAAGTAATTTCTCTCAATATATTGAGAAGAAAATACTTGAAAATTTATTTGCGGGATATAAAGTTTATATAGAAAAATAAACTTTATATATTTCGCAGAAATAAACTTTACAAAAAGATACTTTATATTTCACAAATAAATTTTCCAGTTATCTTTCCTCAGTTTACTGAGAGGAAAATATTCGAAAATTTACTTGTGAGGTGTAAAGTTTATTCACAGAAATAAACTTTATATATTTCGCAGAAATAAACTTTATTTCACAGAAATTTTATGTTTTGAAAAAAATTTTTTAAGTAATTTTTTAAGTAATTTTTTAAGTAATTTTTTTTGAGTATACTAAGAAGAAAAAACGCTTAAATATTTATTTGTGAGATATAAAGTTTATTTACAGAAATAAATTTTATCTTACAGAAGAAAACTTTATATCTCTCAAATAAACTTTTAAATATTTTTTCTCTAAAGAAGACAAAGAAATTAATGAAAAACAATTACGAATACAATTAATTCGCGACGCGTTATTGCGATTACAAGCGAATCTGGCGGACAAAGCTCTGCGTTTCTATAAAAATAATAAATATTTATTTATTTATACACAAATAACAGAAATATATTATCATACATTCTCGCAGTCTCGTTAATCGGACGGGACGATAAGTTAGACACGGATTAATTATAAATAAAACATAGTTACACGCATTTTTGTGTTTATGTGTATGTGTGTGGTTTGTTGTCGCAACTCGTGAAATTTTGGCGTCCTTCCGTTGACAAACAGCAGTCCGCAGTAACAAGTACGTCTGTCTGTCTGTCTATTGCGTTCAGCAGATCACTGCAAGACTCTCCGCTAAGAAAGACACGTCCTATTTCGCGACTAATGATGCACCAACTGTGTAATCGTTCGATTACTCGCATAACGTTCGCGTAATGATCCTCTCGCAAGTTACTCTGCGATCATTCTCCAATTATTTGCACGTATTTCTTCCTAACCTCGCAATTTCCTTCATAATCTAAAATTGCATGAGACTGCCGGGGAATCTTATCGAAGAGATAACTCCCAGACTCGCGACTTTCAAGTGCGAATTTCCACATGTTCACGCACCGCACTTCAAACTCAACGAGATACTTCGAGTCTAGAGAAATGCCTCACATTTTCGGATAAATAAATTAATAACGAGTAACGAATAGTATGGAAGATGAAGCACACACAATGTGCTCTTTTCCTCGCGTTTCTTTAACTCTATAGTCAACACTAAAAATACAGTCATCTGATTCTGAATTGTCTAGATTTTTCCAAAGCTATACTGTGAAAGAAAAAAATATCTAAAGAATACTAAACATTTTTATCCCATGAGTACTAGTAACGTATTTACTCTTATCAATATACATATCTTTACACTGAGAAAAATACTTTCTTTTCAATATAGGGAATTTTTATTTTAAAAATTAGAATTTTGTAACCGAGAGATGGGACAATTTGCAGTAATTTATTATCCTGCCATTTCTCATATGCTATTTATCTTCCAAGAACTGAAATGTGCTATTAAAAAATTTGCTGTGTTCATTGGGCAAAGTAGACTTTACTGGCAATCTACTCTTGCACTACCAGAAACGTAGCAAAATTTACATGGAACAGAATTTACATGAAAAAAGCAAACTATAACATTTTCTCACAAAATCCGTAGCTTTCCGTAAACTGTAAGCTTTCCAACTGTTTATTCTGTTTGAATGAAAGAATCTTTAAGTAAGTGTGTATTAACACCTACGAATAAATACTCGTTTAGATATTTTTCCTCTCGGTTAACGCGAGAAAGGATAATCAGACGATCGCGTGCCCGGCGTTAGACACGCGACGAGAATCTGAGCGGAAAAACAGACGGTCAGCATTGAATGTGCACGAGAGAGCTTTCGAGCTATCGCGGAGATTCGAACAACCACCAGCAACAATGAACGAGAACGCCAATAATGACGCTGATATGTGCGCGTCCGATATCCTGACGACTGAGAGTCTCGCAGTAATCCGCGATTATGCTCGAGTGCAGTCACGAAAGTAGGTGAGAGCCCAACGATGCGAGTGTGTACCGTATGCATTCGAGAGGCTCTTATCCACTCGGGCTACGTATCACCATAATCCGCGATGTGACGTCACGGTGAAGCTGTCGCCGTGCTGTATCCGTTGAACTACGTGCGTAAACTGTGCGTGCGTCGGTGACGTGTCTCGTCCTCGTCGTCGTCGTCATCGTCGTTTTATGCGTAGGTCTGTCGTGCGGGATTTCAGGCTCGCAGGGAACAACGAGGGGTGATCGTGGAAGGAGGATGACAGGTGGGATAAAGAGAAAATGAAGGGCAACGAAGGGCGGCGCAATAAATACTCGATCGGGGTGGATTCTCCGCGAAGGGGTCCAAGAACACGTTCCCGGGCGCCGATCCGAGGACGCCGTGGAGTTGGATCGAGCGTCTCGATCGTCTGAACGGTCCTCGGATCCTGCTTGCGCTGGGAAGACGGGTGTCGTTCACTTGACGTGCGCCGAGTAAGCCAACTCATGAGCGTCTGGCTTGCCGGAGATCGGCGTCAATCCTGGGAAGTTTCTCGCCCAACCGCTGGAGTAGCTGTCGCCGTGGCCATGTTCGAAGGAATGGCTCGAGCCGTGATGAGGATGCGCCACTACCTCGTACGTGACGTGCTTCTGTTGCGAGAAGAGCTTCTTCAGGCCGATGATGCCGGCCAGCAGAAGGGCGATCTTCGACAGAAGGAGCGCTTTGCCGACCAGCAGGGCGAGCGCTTTGAACGCGAGGCCGCCGATCAGGCCGATCTTCAACATGGCGGCCGCGATTAACGGACCCATCTGATTGTTCTTCTTGCCGCGGCCTGCAAGACACGCCAGCGGATAATGCCGTTGTCACTCACTTTCGGCGAGCGCTAGCCGGGAGGATGACAAAGAAACGGGATTACCGCAACCGCGCAATTGTACTTTCCACGGAGAAAGCAGTAAAGTTCGGTGATGAGCAGATGAATGAGCTACGGCCGGCGAAAGCTATCTGTTTATGCAGTCGGTGACACAACTTGGCGCGAGCGAAAATTGAAACGAAACTAAAACTGACGCGTCATTTTTGTGAGGTTCGCCCGGCGTGGCGGACGCTTACGTCAGTGTTGGGCATTAACCGATGAAAATTTTCCTTGGTCGAAGTAACCGGCAAATCACGAATCGAAATGATTGATCAACCGTCACATATAAGGTCACAAATAATTCTATCGATGAAGTTAGTTTCACTGATCAAACTTTGATGTGATTATATACTGATTAATAATGATTTTCATAAATTAATTAAATTACTCGTGACTACATATATGATTCGCTCATCATTTTAGTAAAAGAAAATTTTAAACCCCAATTTTTAATGCCTTATACCGATTTGCGACGAGTAGAAAATGAAAGCTCGTGCTCGACACAGAAATTGCTCTTCTCTCTTTTAATTTCTTAACAGAAGTAACTCAGAGAATCAATAGTTTTCATTAGATTCGAATTACTAAATCGGAATTAAGACAGAAACAATTTCGCGAATTGGGTTTTGAAAAGATTACCTTAGTCTTTGTTACAGAAATATTACAATATTTGTCCAAAAATGCGTCAGTCGACAAATACCCTGATAATATTATCAACTTTACCTTGCTTTATCGGGAAAACTTGATGCTTTGAGAAAGAAGGCAGGATAATTACCGTCTTGAATAGGCTTGTCAGCGCGTTCAATAGAGAGGCCGAAGTTCAACGAGCCCGTGTCGCCCTCAGACGCGGAAACGACGATGTCGTCCTCGGGCAGGATCCTCCACTTGATGCTCCTCGACTTGACGAAAGCGTAGACCTTATTCGCAACGAGGTCGAGGATCTGAGTCTCGTCGTCCTTGCTCCTGCCAGCCTCGAACGTGATCACGTCCTCCGACGTCTGGCTCGTCTTCCGGATCTCGATGTCGTCCGTCAACTCGATCGATGCCTTCTTCAGCAACTTGTTCATGTACGTCACCAGCTTCAACATCACGCAGCTGCTGATATCGTTCTGGGAGCATTTCGAATTGAGCTTACGCAGAAGCTCCTCCTCGTACTTGGCTCGGTCCGACGAGCTCAGCGTCGCAGACTGCTGCTCGACGACGCTGATCTTCTCCTTCTTCTCCACTGGATTGGCCAAACATACTCCTAAGACGAATAATACCAGTACCGGAGTCGCCTTCATGGTGATATTCTGAAACATTCCACGCCAGTCAACGACTCTCAATCATCAAGATAAAGTCTCGCTTGAGCGAAGAGGCAAAACACATCTCAAGATGCACGGATGAAACGTTAAGTTGGATCAAACAAATTTCTGTTTGTGTGATGAAATATGAACGAACTAGAACTCTTCAATTCGGTTAAAGTTACCAGAAATCTTGTTTACTTGAATAGGATTCTGATAATTACAATTCCGATTGAAGTTACCAGAAATTTTGTTCACTGAACAGAATTTTGATATTTCAACCGATTTTTTATTCGTGCGTATTTGATCAGAAATTTAGTTAATCCGACCGAACTTTTCTTTCTTCATTCCGATTGAACATTCGAAGTAAGGTTTACGTTATTTGAATGAAGAATAAAACTTTTGCTGAAATCAAACTGCAAAAACAAGTAACAGATCAATAATGATTAATCGGTCGCGGGAACGCCCAATAAGCAACACGATAAGGTCAATGCGCAAAATCGACCGCGAATTCCGGCGCTGACCGCGCGCAGGTAGAACGTATTCGATAATTTGCGAGTAACGGAAACGACAAATTGACCCACCTGTTGGGCCCGAGAAGTCACGGAGGGGCCGTAGGAGGCGCGAGAAGGGCTGGCGGCGACGGGAGCGTGGCTTACGGCGAAACAGCGGTCCTTTTCTCTCTCCCTCTCTCGGCTCGCTTCCGATCAGCTGGTCGACACGGTGTCGCGTGTACCGGAGTACCCTTCGACGCGCACTCTTCTCAATCCCGACGTGCGGACTGAGGAGCAGTACTAAGCTTCTGAACCCGCGTCTCGCCCTCGACGACTTTATATATACGTAGATCACCGCCTTCCTAGACGCGCTAGCGCTAGAGGTGTGCGCGACGTCGTCGGGTATCGTCGACCCACCACCTCCTGCGGGAAGTATATGGGAGCCCGCGACGACGGCGGGTGGCGCGCCAGGGACGAACGGTAGTGGTGCCCACTTTTGCCTTTGATACGGCTCCGAGAGAGAAAGAGAGAGACAGCGGTAAGCCCGTACGTCGCGGTGAGCCTCGGTGTTGGAGGCGCAGGTGGTGGGATCAACTGCCTCGTACGTGAGATCTCGCGCGAAAGAGAGGCCTCGTCCCACAGCTGTAAAGGACAGCCTGCCGTCCTTTGCGCGCGAACTGGTTCTTCCGCGGTGAGCGCGCAACACAACAACGACAACAATAACAACAACATCGTTGTTCGGTGCGATGAGCCTCGCAAAGAGAGCAATCCACCACCCATTACGCTTCCTCGTCATCCTCCTCCCTCTCCTCCTCCTTCTGCGAAGGGGAGGAGAACGTGCATCGTTTCCCCGCGTCGCAAACTGGTTCCCAGACGCGATACCGGCAGCAACGCACCGTGTACGTGCGCGTAAACGCGTAAACGCCGACATGCCAACCTTCTGTAGTGTAGCGGCTCATCGCTCATGGCTTGTGTGGTTGAGCCCGACGTGTGTACGTAGCGCTGCGATTCATGAACGGCCGCACACAGACACGCGCGCGGGTCCCGCTGTCGTTCGCCGCTGGTGGACCATTACCAGCGACCCGCCGCGAGAACCGTGTCACGAATGTAGAGCACGCACGTTATCCATCCGTCCGTCCGTCCGTCGTTCATCCATCCATCCATCCATCCATCCATCCATCCATCCATCCATGTGTCCAACCATTTAGCCATTCATCCAACCATCCCGGGCAGCGAAAACGCGCAGCCACCTAATACGCGAGCGTGAGAGTCGCGCGTTAATGTATGACTCTTCAATCGCTTTTCACAAACTTTTCTCTACGCACTCGTGGACTTTTAGGGTAGTGAGACACGGTTCGACGGAAACGGCGCGAGGGAAAGCCGGGGTGCTGCTGGCTAGGAAAGCTGCTGTAGGACGGACGAATGATGATGCCTAGACTTTCGTGATTATCGCAACGTAGATAATAAAATGATAGAAACTCCAGGAAATTCTCTCGATTGAGACAAATACAAAATATTAATCGCTAAATTTGCTTCGCACAATAATATAAGTTTGCTTCATATTGCTATCTCGTCACTCTGTGTGATAGATATGAGTGCCGTATAAAGTAATTATAAGGGATGCAATATTTAGTCGACTTAATAGAAAATTGCCACCAAATTTACGTACAACTTAAGCGATGGTAATAACCCAAATAGATTTTCATGATTACCGTAATGTGTGAGACAATTGATGATTGTCTCACACATGTGATGTGTGAGACTAATGATGATTTTAGAATTTTCTTTGCACTTATGAGATGAATATACTATATTGAATTAACCATTCAATTTATATTATATATTGTCATATGAACCATTCATGAGAGATATAGTCTTTACAAACCGATTATATGAAAGAAATTTTATAATAAAAACTAGCTAAAACTATCCGGCATTGCCCAGGTTATCACAAATTGTCAATGAAAATCAGGGATGAAATTCAGGGAGAAGGAATGAGGTTTGACCAGATTTTATAGCTTATATCTTCTGCAAGGTCCTTGAAAGTAATTATCCAAAATCTAGTGCAGGTCGGCCAAATGGTTTAGGAGTTTACAGAGAACAGACAGACATATATTGTTTTGTGTATATAGGTTTCTACAAAATTTCATGACAGATCGACTTTCTCAGTTGACTATCTTTTTACTTCATGTGCTATTTGTATTTCAGGCATTGAAGTGTGCTATTAAAGAATTTGCTACATGTTTCCAGCGAAATTTATTGTGTTCCTTAGCAAGATAGACCTTACTAGCAGTCTCTTTCTGCACTACCAGAAACATGCAGCACATTGAAAAAAATTTCTATAAAAAAGAAACTACTCTTTTCTCTCTTTCCATGCATCAAAGCTGCTGCTAAATGTGTGTGTATTTATTTATCTAGGTAATGATAATGATATGGTGATAACGCCGCCGCGTTCAGCTTGAGGAAATTACTGGAACAAAAGAGGCTGCTTCTGTGGCGAGACGCGTTTAACGTTAAATCAAATCAGCTCGTTTAATCAACGAATTTCCCGAAAATTCTCGTGCTGCAAATCCCGAGCGAACCCGAGTCAAGATTTTAATCCAACTTTCATCCTTATTATACTATTCAATGTCTATTTTGATACTCTGAAACTTACACTCAAATTCTTTTGATTCTATTTAACCTATCCGAGTCGAAATTTTGATTCTACTTTCACTATTCTATTCAACACTTATTTTGATATTCTGAAACATATAATACAATTTATTTTGATATTAAAGAAAATGAAAAAGGAAATTTCGTGCATCATTAGAATCAAAGTTGAAGTAAATTGTATTATTAAAATGAAAGCTACTTTGCTAACTTAACTCCTACTGCGTTGTAGAATTCAAGGTTTAACATAGGGCTGAAATTTTGACTCGAAAAGTGAAACGGTGTTGAATTAACATACTTCGATGACGGATCGGTCAACACACCGGATATGCGTTTGCTCCAGAATGACAGAGATTCAAGGTGTCGCGAAGAGAAATTCTGTCGGCGCGTCTATTGGCGACATGCTCGTGCTGTGTGCGCGCACCTGAGTGCAGACAACGCTACGTCTAATCACACGTTACCACGATCTGAATGTACAATCGAGCGACTCTCGATTCGACGATTATGTGGCTTCCGTTGTTCCCGATATCGCGGCGCATATCCTAGTCGAGGATACGCGCCGACGCGAGAAATACTACTATCGGTCGGGCGTACGTGCTCACGTCATTCATTAGCTCGCTCGTAAATCTGCCTACGTCACTTGATTGAAAAAGGCATCGCGAGGTAAGCGCGTAGAAAGCAGTGGCGTGACCGCTCGCAAAAATCCCGAGGAAAGTAAAGAGAGGCAAAGAGACGAGCGAATGAGAGCGAACGGAGGTGTGTATCGCGAATATCGCGATTTATCGCGTCACGGCCGACGAAATTAACACAGATTGCCTGGATCAGATCGTGAGGATTAATTTGAAACGCGTCGTTACGCTTTTCTAGAATATCATTTCGGAAAATACTTTGATTCACTTCTCCCTCGAGTACGTTCAGCAATCTCTTTACATTTTTTTCGCTCTGTCGCAACGGGATATTCTCTTTATATTCTTAGATTGCTTTCCAAAATGTTCTTTTTGAGGAAATTTTACTCGATACTCTACAGTATATATAACATGAATTATAGATATTGAGTAAAATTTTCCTCAAAAGAACACAAAAAGAAGTTTCGTTTTAAAAAGAAGTTTTGGAATCGAAACTTAAAAAATATTCTCAGTGTCCTTTTATTATACATATCTCTTGTATTATTCAAGAAAATCAAAGTAGATCTCTCCGCTGATGTCACACCTTTTCCTCTCGCAATATATAAACTAAAATAAATGAATTAATAAAAGTTTTTTATCACACACACACACACACACACACACACACACACCACACACAAACACACACACACGCACACACACATCATCGATTTCTCCGCAGAGCTATTCATTATCCTCTTAGGTGATTTGCCTCAAAGTGTCAATAAATGTATGTATCTATTTATCTACCCAACCATGAATCTTGATAGGTTAATCTACGGTAGACAAGGTCTATTAATTATGACAGCGTTAGACCACGAGACAGGTAAGCTTGCCATCACCGCGAACTCGCCGATTCAAATATCGTTGTGCCGACAATTAACCAAGTCGTACATGCGCTGTCGTTTGATTAACGGCGAGCTACGAAGCTTAACAAGACTAGTAATTAAACCGTTACGCGGAGAATGATTTCTCGACAGAACTGCCTGGCAGAACGCATCTTTCAACGTCTTCGTCGAGCGGAGCTGGTACGAAGGTGTGTGCTATCCATTAACGTCGATCTCTGTCTAAAATGAGTATGACTTTGGAATTTCGTCTAATCAATCATAAGTGAGTCCACAGAGAGATAGATAATAATAATAAAAAATAATGTAATAATAGTAATAAATAATAATATGAAATAATAATGCAGGAAGAGAATTTTGTAATGAAAATTGTTGTTTTGTGATCGAGTAATAAATAAACATTCAGCAGCAATTGACTGTCCCTTCATTTCAGATGTCATTTATATTTTGAAAACAAAAATGCGCTTTTAAAAAATTCCGCAACATTTCTAACGAAATTTAAGAGAGACCGGGACTAGATGTCCTATATTTCAGAATTTGTTGTAACTGTAATATTATTCCGATTTGAACAAAATTCAGGGAAAAGTGTCCTAAAAGGATAATCTTTGCTACTATTTTCCTCGTGATCTTCTCTCCACGCCCAAGCATATCCATTAGTTAATGATATGCGATGCGTTTCGAGAGATACTTGGCGCGTTAGAAGCCTGGGTACTCTTTACAAGGATGCGTTACACTCGAGGTCGCCTGATTATCGGCTATTTGTATTTCCGATTTTGTATCCATTCTTTCTCTTAAGATAAACAATAAAAAAAGCACATGAGCAACATACAAGATAGACTTACTGACAGTTTATTCCTGTATTAAAAACATAAATTGCGAAAAAATACCAATAAATTGATACAGTTGCAGACCAAATTGCAATCATTGAATCAACTGATAACTCATCACAGCAACCATATAACTCATTCAATCGACTAAATGTTTGCTTGAACGAATTTAAGCAAAGTCCCATTCAAATCAGCCGTTTTTCTCAGTGAAATCAATCACTGTGAAATCAATCATAGTGAGACATTAGACGTGAAATCAAACGAAAAAAATGCAGATTCCACGATTCAGACCGTGCGTTCCATTTCCTGACCTCGTTTACTTCGACACGCGTGGTACTTACGAA